AAAGTGCGTGCTTTGTGTCAACCATCTTGACGCTCATTTGTTTAGAACTGCTTTTTGTGTTCAGTTTGTTGTCCTTCCCCCTTAACTCTGATCAGCACAGTTGGTTACCACATACATACAGAAAGGAGGTTTCAAAGTAATTTCCTGTGCAATTGAGCATCCAGACGGTGCTAATTTCCCCTTTACAGCCCTGAGCCAGTGGGGTAATTCCACATTTCTATGGCGGAGTCGAGTCTATTCAACATAACAATCACTTTTTACTTCACCGCAAATTAGTATTCAATTATATCCGTAATTATTTTTTTTTCTGTTGGATTAGATCGTGTTTGTGTACCATGCCAACGTTTAATAATAAACCTTCCACCGGCCGACACAACCAATCAAATCAAGTTGTCACATGGGCAACTGCGCCAGTTGATGTGGTTTTACTTTGGAGCAAACCGGAGTCGAAATGATGTTGAAAAGCAACCGAAATTTAGTCAACAAAAATTTTCCAACGTTTCTCTGGGAGATGAATTACATCCAGCGTCGTCTCTCTCTCTCTCTCTCTTGCGCGCGGGAGAGAGAGACGTACCGGAGGTGTTGCGGATCGCGGCATGGACCTGGGAAATTGGGAACACGCCACCGGACAAAGCGAGGGTCGCTGAGGCTGCGTTCCTTCGCGTTGATGTTTGGTGAGGGGGGGGGGGCGGGGCCCGATCACTGCTTTTGGAGACTTACGTCAGCCTGGCCCGGGGCTGCGCAGCTCGTGACCGTTGGGATTCAGTGGCGGGGGTGTGGAAGAGGTGAGAGGGGGGAGAGGCCGGCGCTGAGTGAGTGTGGGGCTGATTGATGAGCGTGGCCTCGTTAAGGAGAGATCCCTTTTGTGCAATGTACCCTTGGTCAGCGTCTCCCTGCGGAACCCTGAAGCCCCAAACAAGCAGCACCGAACCCGCATCCCCCGCCCCCTCCCGACCAGCCTCCGCTTCCTGCATCGCCGTTTCACCTCCCGCTAGGATGAACCAAACTCGGCCGGGATTTCAGGAAGCGTTATAAATAAATAAATAGATGCGCGCGGGACTGTTCTTTTGTCAATCTACTGCTGGATGGCGACTTCCCCCCGTGACCGTGCAGGGTCAGTTGACCAAACTTCAACCGCCGCCGGTCAATGCGTGAACGGTGGGCGGGAGGAGGGAGGGAGCGGTGGCGGTGGTGCCCACGACTGGTTCACTCGCGTTGGCCGTGCCGGCCGGGAATTGAACTTGGGTTGATCCACTGATGGGTCGAGGGCTATCCCCGTGCCATGTGAGTTGTGGGGGGGGGGGAGCGGGGGTTCAGTTGACAACGCTGGTGGTCAGTGCGGGGTTGGTGAATGCATTGCATTGTAACGTAAATAGTCGTTTAAGGAACGCACAATCATGCGGATAGCATCTCTAGTTACGCATTTGCCGTGTCGTCACGCGCGGTCTCCGTGCGTCTTTAGGCCAGCTTCGTGTGATGACGACGACGATGACGAAATCACCGTGAGCAGCAGCATCAGCAGTAGCAGCAGACCTGAGGTGTCGTCGTTCCCGACGGCAAGGAGCGTTCACGTGGGAGCGTAGAATCGCAGAGCGACACTGTCGCCCACAACGTAGCAGCGCCCTCGCAGCCACCTCTGGCACCCTGTTAGTGCGGTAACACACGCAGGCGCCATCCAGATTCCGAGATGCGACGAGTTGAGGCACAATCCACACTTTTCGTCTGCTTGAATAAATACATATATGACTAGGCAAGGATTTTAACAGCAGCACATATATTTTTTTTATATAAAATCCTTGCGCTAAATTAGGCTGCACGAAATCAGGAAGGTGGGAGAGGAGCGTGGTGGTGGTGGGGGTGGTGGTGGTTGGGGTGAAGGGGGCCGGAGGGTGCAGAGCAATGTGTGGTGGTGGATGGAGTGGTGGTGGTGGTGGGGGTGGTGGTGGTTTGGAGGTTGGGGGGCGGCACCAGATTGTGGATGGTCGTGTGCGATGTCGTTTGCCTCTTCCGGGAAGTGATCCAACCTCCGTTAAAGCTGAGCAGCGGGATCCGGCAGGATGTGCAGAGCCACACGTGCGTCCGCACGTCCGTGTGCCCGCGTGCAAGGTGGGCGGGGGGGGGGGGCGTTCCGACACGGCTGTGTGAGCGGTGCTGGCCCTGCACGCGTTGTACCTGTGGCGTGCGTGCGCACGATTGAGTGGTTGAATGCGCGAGTGGGCGCAGGAGTGGTTTTTTTTGCGAGGAGCGGCGGTGCAACGGTTTGCACGCTGGGCCACTACCCCAAGGAGCCACGCGTCTCGCCGGCCGCATCGCCCCCTCTTGCGCCGTGTCCAACCCAAACGAGAACCGAACTCAACGAATGCGTTCCCCTGCGGTCGCGCGGTTGTCTCTGCTTTTCCCATTGCTTCGTTGCCGCTACGGCACTGAAACGTTACTCCTCCTCGCGTCACTCTTGCGAGCGAGACGGCTCCGGACGCCCGATTCCTCACCTGGTTGAACAAATGCACTTGACTTCACGTGACCCCCTTGTCGATGAATACCCCTCCTTGCGAGACCCCCCTCCCCCCCCCCCGGGCTTTCCCACACGAGTTCTGATCCGAGCGTCGTTGAAGAGAGAATTGAATTACAAATAATGGTTCGGCGCTCTCTCCTCGTGTGCTTCAGTAACAGCGTGAATGCCTTTTTCCACGGTTGTTTGTCATCCCAGAGAATGAATGGTTTTAATGTTCACTGTAATTTCGTCCGCAAACAAGATTCATGTTTTTAATTTCAATAAACTATGATCCGTCTGCTTGTTTATGCTGTAACTGATGTTACACGTTCGTGGGTTTAACCGTAAATAAACAGTGGGCACTACTTCCCCGCAATCCATCCTGCAATGTAAATGTATACATGCAATCAATTGTTTGTTTATCATTTACTTAATCGTTTTTGGTGATGTATTTGCTTCAGGCTTTCACCCCACGGTAAGGCGTTCACTAAATGATTCACTGCTAGCAGGCTCTATTCACTATCGTTGTTGTTCCTGAGCCTATTAAAATTCCATATTCCTAAGACAGGTCCACACAACAAGGCCTCTGATTGCATGGACGCCGCACTCGGTGGTTCAGCCTCGCAAGGCAGTACTTATTTTATCCACCCTGAAGGGGATCATGGGCTTAGTCAGATCTTCGCTGGATTTGAACCCACGGCCTCACTGGTTGAGCCTACTGCTTTACTCACCGACATACCCCTGCCTCTGTACCGCAGGAACAACAATGCATGTTTTTTATTTCGTCACTTGTATGTATTTATCCAGGAGATGCCACGCTTGAGTCGAGCGTCTCTGCATTGTTTTCACATCTATTGTAAGATGTTTTCAGACAATCAGTGGGTCTTTATTATAACGATTATTATAATACACGCGGAAAAACCGTGCAGTTCGAAACAGGTCGCGACGGCTCAGCTCGCTGCGGCGCCTGCTCCTGGCGAGCCCAGAGGTACGGCAAACTTCCACGACGCCCGCGGGAAAGGGAGTTCCACCACAACTGTGCGGTGATCCACCGGCGGCCCCTCGTGTCAAATTGAACATATGGACCGACGTGCACTCCATGCCAGCGGGTGTGCTCGCAAAATGACGACGTTGCTGTTAATTCTCATTGGTTTTTTTTTCTTCACCCTGGTTAGAATGAGCAGTTCTTTGATCATTGACGGCAGTGTTTTCTTTCCTCCTCCGCAACGTTTGTCGCGATTCAAACGTAACCACTTTTTCTTTTTTTAATACGTAAATGACAGATTTTCAAATTTTTAACGAAGTTACTCGTTAAAACAACTCGCGCGGCAGTATTAATGCAAGTGCTCATTAGAGCGGCGCTACGGTTTACGGTTGCCGAACGAATACATTACAAGGTCGCGCTCATTACACACAAAGTGCTTGCGCACAAATGAACCGCCAGTACCTTGCTGATCTCGTCAAGGAGCATAAACCATGATCACGTGAACTCCGGTAATCCTGGCAGCAGCGCTCTTTGTTCTAGCCATCGAACAAAGACGACGGTCACCGCATCGCGCACATTCAGCTGCGCTTCGGCGGCCGTCTGGAATGCTCTTCCTTTCCGATATCAGACTTTACCGAAAGAACCAAAGAGTATGGATTCCTGCAGTCACGAAAGCTTCAAATCAACGCTGGGACTTAGTTTGTTGTCTTTCCACCGCACCTCCGAATAACACGGTTGGCTACGTACCGTGCGAAATTAATTTAGCATGCAACAAAGATAAAGACAAAGATCCCCTGTATAGCCTTAACAGACTGTAGGAGGCAAGTGCTGTTAGCGAGCACCTATGAAGGCCGGTAACGGTACACGAGGGGGTGGGTGGCCAGCCACCACGTCCGACCGCCTTTGTCTCCCCAGTGGCGATGTTTACACACTGCACCAGATACTCATTTGAGGCTGAGTCGACCTAGGGGAGGCCCGGGACCGGTTAAGATAATCGTCACTGGTGTTGGCCGTGAGCGGGAATCGAACCCAGGTCGCCGGGGTTCATAGCGCACACACACACACACGCGCGCGCGCACTTTCCCCAGTGGGGTGCTTGAGGAGGGGCCCTGGTGCGGGGAATGGGTGCGGTCCAATTTCCTCGCCTCTCCATAGGCCGGCGGCCAGGGCCCATTGCGGTTCGTAAGGCCCACAGTGCTAATGCGCCTCCTTCGCACTCGATAGCTACGTCGCTGACTTTTCTGCACAAGTGCTCGACGCGCGAATGGTCGGGGGAATGTTCGTCCCCGAGGAGAAACAACATGATTGGTTGATGGCAATACAGCAAAAGTATCGATTTTTGAAAAGGTGATAAAAAAATGGCATTGATTTTGTTCATTTTGACAATGATTTTTGTACAACTCTCTGAACCGTGTGGACCTCTCACCCCTCCCGCCTCCCCCTTTCTCTCCCTCTCTCCCTTCCCTCCCTGCCTGCCCTGCGCTGCCCGCCTGTTGCTGCCCTCCCGCCTGCCCCTTCTCATAGGACTACCTGTCAGTGATCATCGACAGGAAGGCACTCCCACTCACGCGCGGCCAAGTCTACACACTCTTTGGCAACATCGAATACATCTACCCCTTCAACAGGTGACCCATTCTCACATCATTTCTCCGCTGCCCCTATAAAAAGAAGAAGAAGAAGAAGAACAAGTCACGATAGCTCACAGCCCCAAGTCGATCCGCACTTGTAATCCTTTCGGTCGCGCGAGGATTTGCTTGTTCGCACTCCGCTAGGCCGGTCAGTGCCGGTTGGCGAAGGTGGCGAGCCCAGCACCGATTCGGATGTCACTCGCCACCGATTGTTCAGCCGTGCCTGGGAATCGAACTCGACGGGTTCTGAGCGCAGCGTGCTCACCATTGTGCCACCGCTCCACCCCATTTACCGCCAGTATAGAATATACGTGGCGGAGTGGTTAGCGGACCGCACTATGAACCTGGTTACACCCCCGAGGCCAGTTGCCGGCCATGGGTAACCTCAGTGACGTACCGATCCTGGGCACTCCTTTACCAACCTGCACTGACCGACGCGGTGAAGTACGGTCAAACGACTCCCACAGCTAACGCAGCGTAGGGAGGCCTTCACCCAGCAGCGCGATCGACGGAAGGCTTTAAATTATCATTATGTTCTATGGCTGTCTACGTGAACGCCTTGCGCGCGCGGGTGCTTTTACAAATGAATGTCACTGCCGGCGCGCGGGATCCGTCGTGCGCGTCACGTGATGCTAGGTGGCACCACGGCCCCGGAACGCGGCTCACACCTCGGACCTTGCGCGACGAGCCGTGAGGATTTTTCGCGGCAACATTTTTCCCACGCACACACGCACACACCTTCTAAAGCCCACTCAGGAACGGCCTCTCCGTGGCGTCGTGGCTTGAGATTATGCCCCTCCTCCCCCCCCGCCCCCGTTTTTTTTCCCCCTGAATAAATCCCATCGTGAGAATCTTCCAACGCCTGCTGCAAATTGGGGGATAGCGGCAGTGGTGCTTGGGCACTCGGGCGCGGCGACGGATTTTACCCTCCGCCAGATTTGATCTTCGCCCGGGGCAGGCGCTCTCGGTTTTGCGGAAAGAGAGCACGCTGGCACGCAGCCCTCCGCCAGACAAAAAAAAATAAAAACCCGTCACGTCATCCTACTGTCGTTGGGACGTCGCTCGTTACCTGCCACTTGCTCCCCGCCCCCACCGCCCTTTTATAATTCAATACGGTGCTGATCTACAGCGAGCATTGCATGTTTGAACGTCTTTCGCACCGTACGTAGCCATGCCGCGCATACCGGAGGTGCGACCGCATCTCAAGGCAACGTGCAGACACAGTTGGCGTACTCTTACAGGGTTTTTTTGAGTGAGGCAGAGGGGGGGGGAGAGTGGAGAAAAAGGGGAAAAGGTTTTGAGCCTCGACTTAAACAGGGGTGGGGAACCAGCAGCACAGACGGCTGGGAGAAAGGATTTCAAGACCCATGGGGAGGAGGAGCGGAGGAGGAGAATTAGCGCAGCCATCCACTGAACGGAGGTGAACTTGAGGGATTTCTTGTCTGGAATTCTCCTGAGCGGAGGTGAACTTGAGGGATTTCTTGTCTGGAATTCTCCTGAGCGGAGGTGAACTTGAGGGATTTCTTGTCTGGAATTCTCCTGAGCGGAGGTGAACTTGAGGGATTCCTTGTCTGGAATTCTCCTGAGCGGAGGTGAACTTGAGGGATTTCTTGTCTGGAATTCTCCTGAGCGGAGGTGAACTTGAGGGATTTCTTGTCTGGAATTCTCCTGAGCGGAGGTGAACTTGAGGGATTTCTTGTCTGGAATTCTCCTGAGCGGAGGTGAACTTGAGGGATTTCTTGTCTGGAATTCTACTGAGCGGAGGTGAACTTGAGGGATTTCTTGTCTGGAATTCTGCTGAGCGGAGGTGAACTTGAGGGATTTCTTGTCTGGAATTCTCCTGAGCGGAGGTGAACTTGAGGGATTTCTTGTTTGGAATTCTCCTGGACCTCTCTGCACTGTTGAGATCCCAGCGCTGCTTAAGTCCAGGCTTAAGTCTTCCCTCTTCTCTATTGACTAAGACTGAGACTCATCTCTCCTCCTCCTCCTCCTCAAATAAAATTGTCTGTTACCCTCTTGGCCATAATTCCATTTCTGGCCTCTAGCATGCTACTCATCAATAGCATTGCTCCTCTCCTGGACAAATGCGAAAAATAGCTTTATAGCTCACTGGATTCCTCTATTATGAACATATATTCCGATTATGATATCCCATGCTCCCAGTGAAGCGTCAAGCTCTATAAGTGCGGTGACATTTAAAGCCGTTTACCAGTTTAAAACTCTGATTGTTATATTATAAGAATTAGCAAATATTACTCGCCGTGCCAGCTCAAGTTAGCCCTGGAGCGAATCCTCATCCTGGTGGGGATCAGCTGCAACGCGTTGAGATGCGATCGTATTGAGAGATATTTGTAACTCTGTAAACGACAGTCACTCGGAATTCGCTCGATCTCATCAGATCTTGCATGCTAAGCAGGCGTTGAGCCTGGATAACGGTGCTTGAACGGGCGACCGCCGCGCTTAACAGGTGTTCTATAGGTTACGGGGCTTTCTAACGAGCAGCAGAGGGCAGTGCGGCAAAATCCGTTGTTGTACTGCCCTTCTATGATCCCACATTTACGTTTCCGCCGCTTTCACCGAACCAAGGGCGGTGAAGTATCGTCTCGAATAACCTTGCACGACCCGGGCAGTGCGGGGGACAGAAGGCCTCGTCCAGCAGCAGAGTGACACATGGTTTTATATGTACGTACGCGAATTGTGTTTGATGTAAAACATATTGCGAGCGATGCGTTCTGTGATCTCCGTGCGTCAGTGATCTGTTACAGAGCCTGGAGGCCTGCGCTGGAGATGTTGTGGCCATCGCCAATTGCTTTGTGCTCAAGGTACGCAACAACAACAATTATAATAATAGTAACCTGCAACAATTACAATAACTACAATAATAATGATAATGTTAACCATAGTGTAGCAATAACAGAGAGTTCGTCGGTTCGATCCGGTTTGACCTCCAGGAGCGACAGTTGAAACGACAGATTCTTAAATCCCTGCCGCCCCTTGTCCACCCAGCAATTAAAATGCAGTTAGTCGATTGGCAGGATGCATGTGCGGTGAGGTAAAGTGTGGGTCCTCTCACCGCCTCCACTACAGTTTGGCTGGCGTGGAAGAGTAGGCCAAATACCCTCTAGAGGGCGGCCGGGGGGAGGGGGGGGCTCTCTAGATGTCCCTCCGAGTGGAGGACTTTTGTATGTATGTTGAACTTCGTTCGCACTGTACGTGGCCAATGGTGCTAATCGGAGGTGCAGCAACGGCGTGGGTGAGAAATCGCAGGACTGCGCCTCTATCTGTACAAAACCAGCATTGGCACAGCTTTGGAGTCATCTTCTTGGTTCTTTCGGTAAAGCCACGTAGAGTGGAAATAAAATAGTAAAAATAAAGCTTTGGAGTCACGTAGGCGTCAGAATTGTCGTGCTCCAGCGTGTGGGACATTAGTGCACTCATTTAGCATCGGTGTCTAATTTACCGGACAATAGCCCTGTACAAGTAGTCCATTATGCATAAGTGAATGAATGCGACGCTGGTAATTTGGGAAATAAAATCGACCAAATGTTTTTTTTTTCATCTCTGCTTTCAACAATGGGCCGTGATTATATCTCGGTTGCTTGACGTGCTTGACGTGGCCGGCGATCCGAGTAATGTAATGAAGCCCGCGCCACTAAGTGCCACTCATCTTAATTACTGCAATTATGATCGTTTCGTTTATAGAGTGAAGACTTCAAGATCTACACTCAATACTGCACTAACTATCCCAGGTACGTATTGTTACGTTAAGGGGAACAATTAGACGATTCCCAGGAAGAGTTCCTGGCTTTAACGTCTGTTTTGTTTTCGTAAAAATAATAACAAGCTCATTATAACAATGATTGAAAATTAGATTTCGTTTTTTTTTACGATTTACCACATTTTCCAAATCGTCTCGGTGCCGACGGCGCCAATTGTTGTCACGTTCTGACCTGCCGCCCCGACTGGACACTTGTGAATGAGAGCTTTATAGCTCATCGGATTCCTCTGGTTACAAATAAATATTCAGATTTTGATAGCTGATGGCCGGCACCAGCCTTAGCCGATCTCCCTCACCAAAGCCACGTTTCACAGTCACGGCCCCTCACCCCACCCCCCCGGGGTAGAACTCACGGGCAAAGGAATACGGCAGGCAGCAACGGCGTTATCGATTCATGTACAGCGTCCACAGGCAATCGCGTCTCAAGATGCCTTACGAACACGAAAACTGCATTATGGTATCAGAGGGGGTGGCAGCGGGGGTGGCGGCGGTCAGGGTTAGGGGCACACGCGAGTACAGCTCGGCATGAAGCAACCGAACGAACCGGTGCCCAGCACCAACAACGAACTCAAGGAACAGCCAGGGCAGCTGGGACAGTCGGGACAGTCGGGGCAGCCGGAGAAACCATGGAAGCCAAGACATCCGCGGCAGTCGGGGCAGCCAGGCAAGCTAGGGCAGATGGGGCAATCGGGGCAGCGAGGCCAGCCAGGGTAGCCGGGGCAGCCAGGACAGCCAGGGCAGCCATGGAAGCCGGGGTGGCCTGGGCAGCACTAATTCCCAGGGCATCCTCGGGGGACCCAGCCAGGAAAGGGAGAGTGGTTATGCACACAACTATCTCGTTCTACATCTAAAACTTTAGAAGCTTTCGTCGTGTTTTGCTTTCACCAACCGAAACCTCCAATTGAAGATTGCTTTGCTCAGCTTTAATTAAAATGATGCTGGGGGTCTCTGAGTGAGCAGCAGAGGGCAGATGTGAACGTAGATTTCCCCTTTAATGAGACAAGAATCTAGATTTCTTTTTATTTTGGTTCGGTGAAACGCTTCGGGAAGATAGCGGCGGCTGGCGGGTATAATAATTTCCGTGACGGCGCTGTTTAAAATCGCTTGTGCGGAGAGAAGAAACATCTGGCCCAGGATTCGGCTGCACCGCGGAATGGAGTGCCGTTGGCTGTGCGCGTTGTTCGGGCGCCACGGTGGCGAGATGTTAACTCCCTCGCCTGGTATGCAAGAGGTTGTGGGTTCGATCCCAACCCTGATGCCTGTATGTATTTTCCATGCTCTCCCCGTGGTAGCGTGGCTTTTTCTCTGGGTCCTCCAGTTTTTTCCCCTCCACATTTATAAACACGCGCTTCTAGTATTCGGCTGCTATACATTAATCCACATGATAACCCACTTTGTTGAGCTATCATTTGTGGCAAGGTCCTTTTTTGAAAAAGAGCTTTATAGCTCAGTGGGCCTTACGTGGTAAAATAACAAAAAATAGAGTTGAGTTTTTTTTGCTTTAGATGTCACCAGTGTTGTTAGCTCAGATATATATGTTAGATTTGAAATTCCACCCTCGCATTCGATTGGCAGCCCACGGCTAATGGCAGTGGCGAGCCGTACCTTATCCCCCCCCCCACCTTCACCACAACCCGCATTCATGAGTGTGATGAAGTATAGCCAAACAGCTCCCATGATCCACACCGATTGTTAAAAGCCGCGTGACTGGGGAGGCATTCATTCAGCAGTGACTTGACAAAGCGATGTTTGTGAGTAAGGAGAACGATTTTTTTTTTTAAATCAAATCATCAGGTGGCATTGCTTGACCACGCGCAGTGTTACGCGGCACCTTGCTCAAGCCACGAAACACCCAAGCAAGCCTCCGCGATGAGCGCAATGGAAAAAAAAACCCACTTTTACTGACGTCAATAAATCATTCTCTCGGGTGTGTGCGTCTTGCCGTTGCCTCTGAACTTTGGCAAGCGGGTGAATACGAAAAGGGCCTTAACCGGCGGTCATTCACACTTGGATTATTGTCCCCTCACCACCCCCGTCAGCGAGACAGGTTGACAGAAATATCCCCCTGGGCCCGTCTCCCATCGCCTTGTTTTTACTTCTCTATTTCAGTTCAGAGTTGTTGTTTTGGCACCGAGGGGCACCGGTGCAAAAATGCGACCGTTAATCCTTTAGTGGGGGCGGTGGTGGGGGGGGGGGTGGGATCGGCAGCCGCGTCAGCCCAACCGTACAAGGAGGCCGCGCACGGCCAAAACAAGCCGGACGACCACCGAGCGCGCCGTTTACTCTGCGATGGGGGCCGCAGCTCAGTGGGTGGGGCAGCGCGTGGGAGTGTATTTACGCTTATTCAAATTGTGTACGTGTTTAAACTTGGAGGGCCCCCTTGAGGGCATTCTCATCATGACCATCATGGTCATGAGGCGTGAGCTAGCCACTGCTGGATGAAAGCCGCCGCCGCCGCCGCCATCTGTTAGTGGTTATTTGATGCGGTGGTCCTATGTGGTAGCAATCCGTCTAGCACCTACATGAGCTAATTTCGTCACTCCGTCTCCACGATGGATGTTCCATCGGATGCGTTCCTTCCTTTAGCTACCGCTTCTTCTCCCCCAACCCTGATTAATATCCTCAAGTAGCCCCACCCTACATTTCCACATTTATTGTCTGTCCGTCCATCCATATGTCTGTCTGTCCTCAAGCAGCCACACCGATCATGAGATCAGAGAAGAGAAGCAGGAAGTGCATTGCGGGCATTATGTTCCCGCTTTAAAAAAATCGAGATAAAAATATTACTTTTTCCTCCGGCCAGAGTAACGTAATGATTTCTCCAAGCTCCATCCTATTTTGGTCACGGCCAGATTTTCACCACCTCTAGTGTTTGCGTAGCCCCTGGCATTCCATTAAATTTTGCTGTGCTGAAGTCTGTCGCTCGTAATCATCGGAGCGGTTGGGTGAGTGGGTGCATGCGTGAGTGAGTGGGCACACCCGGGAGAAAGACGGAGCCGAGGGGACGCCCGTCACCACAAGGGAGCCGTGTGCAAGCTTTTATAACCCTTACACCACCTGATATACACACTCACCCCTGGGGGTTAAGGTCTCCGTTTGCAAGGTTCCAAAGTGTGTTTTTTTTAAGCGCATCTATTTTTTTCTGCCAGAAATTAGGTAGTCTATCCGCAATCTGTCTCTCTGTAAAGTTCAACCGTGCCCTTGAGCAGATAGAGGGAAAGCCACGGAGTTGGATGTCTGGACTGTTTTCAATTTTCATTTAAAATAAATAACGATAATTTATGGCCCTTTGCGGATCCCCTACTACATTTTGGTCACGGTGGTTTGTTTGACCATACTTCACGTGCTAATCAGTGCGGGTTGGTGAACGGGCGGTACTTTTGACCGGATTGGATATCACTCGTAACTGATGTTAGCCGCGGCCGGGAACAAAACTCGGGGGGTCGCCGGGTTCACAGCACAGCGTGAGCCTGCTAACCGCTGTACCACCACTTCCAAAATGGGCTTGGGGAGTCCTTAATCCCAGTGGTGGAATTCTGAAATGTTTGTTACTTTTATTTTAGTTTTACCTCTCTGCTAAGGACCCACAACTGGGCACTCTCCGTTAGTACCCAAAACATCGCGGCTCGCTGGTAAAATGATTAAGCCATGGGAACGGACGTCCTGGAATGGTGTGATTTATTGGAGCGTGCTCATGCAATTTATGTACCCAACGCATGCCTCCACGTTGACACGGACGGCTCCGCTAATCCAGACGCAGCCGGTTCGCGATGCTGGGCACCCACCCCCCCCCCCACTCGAAGCCGTCCGGCCGTGCAGAGTGTGAACATGGCGGGAAAGTTATACCACAGCGCACTTTTCGGCGACCGTCTTTGTCCGTGGTTGGCAGCTGTGGCTAGCTGTGAGGTCTGTTCCCGCATCTTCAAAGATGCCTGGCGGGACAACCGGGTGTGAATTACTTCGGCAGAATTGGGGACGATTGATCGATTACGCCGATCGATGAATGGACATTTCTCATCGGCTGCTTTTTTGTGTGGTCGATTTCATACCTGTCAATGCCTCCTCAATGCCCTACCTTATTACAGACCAATTAAAACCTTATTGGTCACCCCGTGCCCTTATAAATCTCAACGTTCACCTTACAAAGTCCCATCACAATGGAGAAACATAAACAAATACACGTTTTTTTGCTTTTTTTATGCCCGTATTGAAACGGCTGTACGCCGTATGGACCTGAAAACTTAATTTCCCTGTACAAGAATACGGCTCAACTGTACGGGTTGTCCGGGATGCGATGACTCGGACCCCTTTTAAAAATGGCGGATTCTGCCTCCCGAAGGCAGGAAACCCCCCTACAAGTTACGCCCGGCGTGTCATGGCCGATGGCGCCGATGATGTCGTCGATGTTGGCATGCGTCACCCGTTACCTCCCTCCAGCGGCACGTAAAGGTGAAATGCGCAAGACATTTACCTTCGACCGTTTTCACGTTGTGCGATTAGTCGAGCATTCAAAGCACTTATCGATTAGAATGGACGATTACTTGAATGATCAGATAGCCCAGTTTGTAACCTCGTGGAACAAGGTGAACTTATCCAGCAGAGAATGGGGATACAATGAGGACGCATCTGAGTTGGGGGGGGGGGGAGTTGGAACCTGTGAACTTTAATCAGGGGCGAGGTTGTCGCCACCCTGCTGCCCCATACATTCCAGAGATGTCTGATGGCTTTTTGTGACGATAGGGAAATCGTGCCTCATGACTTCACGTAGCTATAACCAAGGTCAAGAGGTCACCTTGGCCAAGGTTGATGGCACTCCACCCCTCGCAGCAATTCAACGGATTGCCGCATTTCTGAGCAGCGGTTATGCCGTTTAACTTGAATGTGGTGGCCTCTGGGGACCGAAGGGGTGACGCAAGCCCGTTACATACAGTCTTTACAAATAAAAAAGAAACATAAATTCTGACGTGCTTTCGTGTGTGTGTGTGTGTGTATATAGGAAGCAAAATGTGGGGGGCGGTAGTGTAGCGGTTAGCGCTACGCTGCACTACGAACCTGGCGACACGGGTTCGATTTCCGCTCAAGGACAACACCAGTGACGATTATCTGAACCGGTCCTGGGCCTCCCCTAGGTCGACTCAGCCTCAAATGAATACCTGGTGCGATGTGTAAACATCGCCACTGGGGAGACAAAGGCGGTCGGGCGTGGTGCTGGCTACCCACCCCCTCGTGTACCGTTCCGGCCTTCATAGGTGCTCGCTAACAGCACTTGCTCCGACAGTCTGTTCAGGCTATACGGGGGGATCTTTGTCTTTTTTTATATAGGAAGCAAAAATACAAATTTGAATTGACGAGTGGCTGATTTCAACTTGCCCTCCTCCACCATGCACTCGAGCCTAAAACATCCCTTTCCAATTGCACCTGCAACACTTTCTTGCCACGTCCCTTTCAAAACTTCCATTTTGTTAATCCTTATCGTTTCGAGCACCTGATGAAGTACATCAGTGCCAGGCCATTTGCATTCCAACGGTCGAGTCATTATATATACGTTTACTTTAAAAAATGTAAGCTCGGCAGATCACCGTGACTTTCACAATAATGTCGACAAGCAACACTCACAGACCGCTCATCCTCCCCAATGGAGAATTCATCATCGGTGTGAGAGGGGCTTTTGAATTTCCCAGGGCTCTTGTCAACTGCCAGCCTGATCAGTCCACCTCGGTGAAAAGAGGAATGGTGGGGGGGAGAAGGGCGTGAGGGATGGCGGGGGGGTGACATTTTTGTCTTCCCTGTGAATGCTGCTGAATATTCGTTGTGTGCCATTGATGAATAAAACCATGGGATTCTTGCCGGTTAACTTGGCCAGAAATTAGTACTTTATCCCCTCTGAATATGTGTCGACAACACACGCAAATGCGAGGGACAGATGAAGGCGGCCGCCCGTTGCACTTACCGCATTGCCTGCTGGTATTGCTGTGTCAAGCCAATAAATAGGCACTCGCTCACACCGACATTTTAATACAGCTTGAATAATTAAAAAAAAACCCTCTTTGCGTGTGCACATCAGTGTATGCGCATGTGTGTGTGTGTGTGCGGTGGCACGGTGGTTAGTGCACCGCCCTACAAATCCGAGTTTGGATTCCCAGCCACGGCTGACGTCAACAGCGAAGCGAGCGACATCTAAAGCGGGTGCTGTGCCTCGCTCCCGTTCGACCACAACCTCCAATGTGGCACCCGACACGGCGTGTAAATGTCAGTACCAGGAAGATCAAAAAGCGGCCGCGCCGGCCGCGCCGGCCACGCCGGCCACGCCACCCTCCTTGTGGTGGCACGTCGGCCTCAATAGGTGCTCGCGATAACAACGCTTGCCCCAGCCGACGGTGTTGGTGGTGGGTGGGGGTGTCTTTGTGTAATCGTGCGTATGTGTGGTGTCCGCGTAGCTCGATGGCCATCCTGAGCGACTGCATGAAGAACAAGACCCTGGTGGCGTTCTTCCGCGAGAGGCAGACGGCTCTCCGGCATTCGCTGCCGCTCGGCTCGTACCTGCTGAAACCCGTGCAGCGAATCCTCAAGTACCACCTCTTCCTGAAGGTGGCCCACGCGCCCTCCTCTCCCGCACGCGATGGGGGGCGAGCGACGTCGCGTTCGTTCGTTTGTTTCATTGTCTCACGTTGCGAAAGGTGCGTTTTTGCCGATTGCATCCCTGATAAGTGCCAGCGACGTGGTGGTAAAGTGGGATGAATTAACTTTCGCTCGGGACGCTCACAGCGAGCGGTGCATCACCCTGTGTCGAAGACTGGCCCTGGATGGAAGTTGACATCACGGAACTAATTCTGAAGCCGCTTCAATCGAGCTATTTGTCTACATTGGTGACCATACCTTTGATGTGTCCTGGAAAGAATGGTCTACGCAAGCCCATAAAACCTGTATATATATTTTTTTATTCTCAGAAATGTTTCCAAGTTAAAAAAAAAAACTAATTCAATATGACATGGGTAATTGGTGAACGGGCTGAGGCCATCGACTCACTACCCTTGAGAACCCGGTTTTATTGCAGGTGGCTGAATCCCAGATTCGAATCCAGGGTCTCAGCAGTTAATTGCTCAGTGCCTCTGACCCCTGTACCACCTGGCCACTGAATGGATAATGCGTCTCATAATAATAATAATGATAATAGTTTATTTTAAATCATAATTCATGCTAATTGCATCTCACGACGCGGTACAATAATTACATGCATAATGACATGAAGGGATACATTCTATTTATGTAGCAATTATTAGGTAAATAACTTCCTCAGACATTTTCTAATGAATTCACTCGTCAAGAAATGGTATAAAAACAAAAGGCATATAAAACAAAATCTATCACAACAGAGGTACAGAAAATGACATCTTAAATATTGAACATTAATGGTTTAGATCTGCTCATCTCTGAACAAGCTCTCGTTGATTTCCATTTTATTAATGAAATGATAACAGTTATTTTCCCTTTTTTTAATGCGTTTATTTTACTGCTCGACGTCGGCCGATAGAAAACAGTCATCTGCTCGCATCTCAATCCAATATCGTTCCTCCATCCAGCCGTCGTCTTCAGCACTCACAATGTTTCCAAGGCACCGCGTTATAAAGTGTCATCTCAACTATAAAGCGAGTCAATGTTTGTGCCGCCGTTAAACCGGGGTCATTGTCATGAATGTTTGCCTACCCTCTGTTTATCTGCTACAAGGCAGTGCTTAGAGATGACGTCTTTGTTTGTCCTCAGTCTTCCAGCGATGGATTTCCGTCAGGGATCCTGTACACGTAAGATAATGTGCAAGCCCTGCAATTGCTTTCTCGCGCTTCCGAGGGTGCCCTGGAGAGCCCCGCTTCTCGATTATTTTGGCCTACTCTTCCATACTGACCAGGTGGAAGTATCCACGCTGTACCCCACTACACGCGACCTGCCGATCGGCTTTCCGCGGTGAATCCACTCGTGCCGCTCGGTGGCCAAGGTGGGGGGGGGTCGACGATTTAAGAAAGCGCTCGCGCCGTCGTTTCAACCGCCGCGCCGGGCGATCCAAACGAACCGGCTGACCCCTCTCCGTCGCGAGTCCAGTGCGCCCACCGTCATAACCGGGGCGCACAAACGCGACGACGATGGAGCTTGGCCGCGAGTCAACCGCCGTAACCCCGCGGTGCCGCCTGCCGTCCGTCCGTCGCAGGACATCGCGAGCCGGCTGGACAATGGTGCGGAGGGCCGCGACGTGGTCAACAGGGCCCTGGCGGCGATGCACGGCGTGGCGCGGTCCATTAACGAGATGAAGCGCAAGCACGAACACGCCATACGCGCGCAGGTGGGCGCGACGGTAACACCACCCAACCCCTTCCCGGCCTTCTTCTGCTTTAGAGAGGAGCAGCGGCCGATCTTGCCCACCGGTTCACCGATCTCACCCGCCGGAGGCGCAACAGTCACTTGCTGGGCCAAACCCCTTCTGTACTGCCACCGGCGAATTTGTTTTCGATATAGGCTCCCTGCCGAGGGCTGCCACCTCTGAGATACAAAAATGTGGATGTCTCGCAACGCCATTATAGCATGATCAACGTAACGTATGTACCTATGTTGAACTTCTTTTAAACCGTACGTAGCCAACCTTGCGAATCGAAGGTGCGGGGAAAGAACAGCAAACTAGACACAAAAATCAGTTCTAGAGTAATGAGTTTTGAATCTAGATTTAAAAGTGGCTTTATAATATCAGAAGGAAGTGCATGTCAGACGGCCGCAGAAGCGCATCTGAAAGTGCGCGATGTGGTGACCGTCTGTGTTCGATGGCCAGCCTAAAGCCGCCACTAGATGACTGGTGATCCTGTGATACTCCCTGACGAGAGAAGCAAGGTATTTCGGTTCATTCGTAGCAAGCACTTTGTGTGTAATGAACGCGACCTTGTAATGCATTCCTTCGGCAACCGTAAGCTAATGCAACTCACCTACAGAAATTTTGCTCAATAGCGGTTGTAGGGCTCGCACCAAACGCCGTTGTCGTGCGCGCGCCGCAGGAGATCCAGGGCCTGCTGGTGTGCGGCAAGGCTCGGCTGAACCTGGACGAGCTGGGCGAGCTGGTGCAGGAGGGGACCTTCCAGGTGAAGCACGGGCGCAAGGAGCGCACGCTGTTCCTCTTCGCCAAGGCGCTGCTCGTCACCAAGCGGCGTGAAGACGGCACCTTCACGCACAAGTCCTGCATCAACGTGAGTGTGGGAGGCGCGAGCGGGAGAATGGGCGGGCCGGCGTGGTGCTCGCCAAATGAGCGTGCGGGAGCTGGCGGATGAGTGTGGGCGGCGCGGGCGAATGGGTTTTGGATAGAGCCAGCGATTGAGTGTCACGTGATTACGGGAGGCTCGAGCTGATTCAGATATACACGGATTATGATGATTCGCGTGTGTTTGTGTTTTGATTGCTTGCGGGCGCCGCTGTTTTGTGTTTGTGCTGCCCAGTGCGATAACCTGATGATGTCGGAGAATACCAAGGAGCGGACGTTCAGCGTGTGGAACCAGCGGGACCCAAAGACTCGTATCACCTTCCAGGTTTAGCATAATAATTACTTCAGTTTATTATTTTAAACGTTTGTAGTTTTTCCCCGGATTTGCTTTTTTCCCTCATTGTGCTCATTGACATCGACGTCACGAGACAATTTACCCCATTCGCAACGCTCGCACGGAAGTTGCAACCCTCCATGTTTAGAGAATGGCCCTCGGAAATGAATATCACAGAGCTACCGCTGAGGTCATCCTTCAAGTCACCTGCGGTCCACGCAGTAGGAGGCCTCACTTTCCGACCCGTTCTGCCGTGTGTGAATGTTGCATTTGTTGCATGACAGCTAAACTAATAATTTTAGATATCAGGGCTGGAATTTAGCCATATTAACTGAAGAACTAAATTCATTGTGATGATTTGCGACCAGGCTGAGGCAATGATGACCAAGCTGATACCATCAAAACAATACGCTTAAGAACCCATTTTAATAATTATACTCATAATTCTGTCATCGTTATGATTTCTATCACACTTCCTAACATTGTTCTCATAACTGTTATCATCATTGCCGTCATTGCACTGATTATTTTTGTTCTAATTACTGTTAGAATTTTTTTTAAATCAGTCCCCCATTCCTGCCCTCCCTTGAGCCTGCCCCCCATCTTCCTTGACATTGCCCTCCCCCGCCCCTGCCGCTTCAGACCAAGTCACTGAATGAGCAGAGGCTGTGGACTTTACATCTGAAGAAGCTCATCCTGAAGAGTCACCCGACGGTCGTGCCAGAGCGGGTGCGTGTGTCCCTCGGTGTTGCGCCTCACCGGACCTACCTATCCCACACACACCGGGCCTACCCCACACACACCGGGCCTACCTACCAAACACACACCGGGCCAACCCCTACACACACCGGGCCTACCTACCCCACACACACCGGGCCTACTCCACACACACCGGGCCTACTCCACACACACCGTGCCTACCCCACACACACCGGGCCTACCTCACACACACCGGGCCTTCCCCTCACACACCGGGCCTACCCCACACACACCGGGCCTACCCCACACATACCGGGCCTACCTACCCAATACACACCGGGCCTACCCCACACACACCGGGCCTACCCCACACACACCGGGCCTACCTACCCCACACACACCGGGCCTACCCCACACACACCGGGCCTACCCCACACATACCGGGCCTACCCCTCACACACCGGGCCTTCCCCTCACACACCGGGCCTTCCCCTCACACACCGGGCCTACCTACCCCACACACACCGGGCCTACCCCACACACACCGGGCCTACCCCACACATACCGGGCCTACCTACCCAATACACACCGGGCCTACCCCTCACACACCGGGCCTACCCCTACACACACCGGGCCTACCCCACACACACCGGGCCTACCCCTCACACACCGGGCCTACCCCTCACACACCGGGCCTACCTACCCAATACACACCGGTCCTATCCCACACATACCGGGCCTACCCCTACACACACCGGGCCTACCCCACACAGACCGGGCCTACCCCTCACACACCGGGCCTACCTACCAAATACACACCGGGCCTACCTACCCCTCACACACCGGGCCTACCCCACACACACCAGGCCTACCTACCCCTCACACACCGGGCCTACCCAATACACACCGGGGCCTACCCCACACACACCGGGCCTACCCCACACACACCGGGGCCTACCCCACACACACCGGGGCCTACCCCCATACACTGGGGCCTACCCCCACACACACCGAGCTATCACCTGTGGCCAGGTCGCCTCAGAAAAAGATCTCGTAGCTCAGCGGGTTTTACCTCAGGTCGTGAGGGAAGGGGCAATGAATTGTTACTTTCCAAAATAAAAAGATACCATGATGCGCATGTGATTGAGTATTATCCACGGCTAAATTAGAAAGGAAAATGAATGCAAGTCCCTCGAGGAATTGATTGCGTGCGTAATTCACAAATGCAAAAAAACCCACTAATCTCATTGGGTTTTCACTTTGTACAATAAATTAGATTGAAATCCACTAATCTCCTTTAACAAAACAATACTTTTGGTCTTCCGCATGGTTTTAAATAAAGGTCATCCGTCCATGACTTCCCATGAGTAATTTAGTTTGTTTTGATCAAATTTACTAAATTATTTTCAGGGACTGCATTCACCAGCCATTTAAAATAAAGACCGTGGCTTCTTTGTTCATTTGTATCTTTGGACCCTTTCCCACCGCGAGCACGCGTGCGATGCTACAGACGCGATTAGATAAATCCTCAAAGCGCTCCTTCCCTTCCAAATGCATTTCCCCTTGCGGACGTGAGGACGGAGTTAAAACAAGAAGACGTTGATAACAACAAAAATACACCCGGCACAATGAATACAGCGAAGGCGGAGAAGAGAAACACATGTAGCCACCTCTGCCACCTGCTTGTGACAAATTGGGAGCAAAATCTTCCTTTTTAAACACAGACACCGTTCATCATCTGCAGCGTGTCACACCGGCGGGCCTAGCAATTAATCACAGTATCAACCAACCATCTTTTTTTTTCTTCCCCTCCCACCGTGGATTATATGGCCGCAACGTTTAGAAACGTAATTTTTTCTATATATAATATTTCCTCGTAGTTAATACCGTTGCAGCACATTACGGCTTTAATCGGTCAACTTGCACGGAATAAAGTTGGGGGGGTTGGGGAGTGTCTGCAGCTGGACAGCATCATTCCGACAGCTAAGAACTGAACTTCGGGCTTGGGGCAGTGTGACGTCTCCAGGAGGGATGACGGTGGCCAATGGCCTAGAAATATGACGCCTCCGAGAGGACGTCCGTCGAGGAGACGGATCGATGAAATGCCGTTCGTGCACCGGGCGCTGGGCGGATTGTTGCGTCGCAGGTTCGTGGGAGATGGAGATGGCCTTTTCGGAGGCCTTCATCCAGCAGTGGATTGATCTTGGCTGATGATGATGACGACGGTGGTGGGGTGTGGTGGGTCTTCTCCATTTACGTGGCCGAATCATGTCGTGAAAGACGCTGGATTTTGTTTAACATTATTTGAGAGATCGGTTCTTGATATTTTTTGCCTCCTAGGTCAGTCACTCTTGCAAATGAGACTCATCCTGGACTCTCGTTCTCACCACCTGGTTAAAAAAAAAAACTTGACACTACCCAAATGTTGCTTACTTGAAATGAAGACTCGCACACATGCATCGTATAAAGACTTGCACACATGCGAGTCTTCATGCAAGCATAGTATGCATGTGGTTGCAACAGGTGTTGTGTGCTCTTTGGATCTCTGAACTGTTTTATGCTGTCCAGTGCCCTGCTGTTATCTGTACTGACTCTGTGCTTAATTTTGTAACAGGAAAACCATAATATAGTTTTGTATCACTTATATAACAATGATAATGATCGTATTAATGATAATGCTTATGGTGATGGTAATCGGTGTGTTTTTGTTGTTATTCTTGCAGGCAATGCAAGTTATTTTGGATGTGAACCTATTGGGTAAGTGCCCTCTCTCGATATTCCTGCAACTGTTCAGATGTTGTAGCTTCCGGGGAAAAGATGTATTCACCTTGTGCAATCCACGCGATGCTGCCAGGGTCGTGTTAATCTTTAGCACCACTGACTGGACTTGCAATCCAGAGGTAGCTGGTTCAATTCATTCTCCCGGTGTGGCAATCAAACCAACTGGGCTGCTTTATTAAATTTCTCACCACCTCTGTCCGCCCTATCAGTATAAATGGGTGTGCGCCGCAGTTAGTTATTCGGCAGGTCCGTGTGTGGTGGGGTAAAGTGTGGGTACTCCCTCCTCTTCCGAGACGTCTAGCCCGGCATGCAGGAGAGTACGGTAAGTGCTCGCTTCACGTGTTTTCACACGTCGCGTTTTCGCTACAACACAGTTCTTCTGTTGGGGAATGCGCTCCGTTATAGCGCGGTTTGTGAGCGGTCGATGGCGAACTACATTCTTGAGCTGCGCGGGCTGAGCGGTGTGGGAATTCTGGGTATACGCACAAGTACGATACGTCGCGTTACCCTGTCACACCTCCGATCAGCACGGTTGGCTACGTGCAGTGCGAAAGAAGTTCAACATACGTACGTACTTGTCAGTTCTTTATCCCGCCGCCTTAATGTGTGTGCGTACATCATACCTCGCAACCCCCACCTTTTTACGGGGAAATTGTTGCTACCACCACGTTAAACGAGAAATTGCTACTCTCGACCAACTGTCCTCGATCAGGGGGCTCTCCAGAGCTCCATCCAGTGGAATGGAAGCGCTCTCATCAGCCGCGGCGTGAGCGAGCAGTCGCAGGGCAGCGCTTTTCCCCTTTGCGGTGCACGCATCCGAAGGATGGCAGGTGGGAAGAAATCACGAGCGTTCCGTACGATTGATCTCATTGGCATTTTGTACCCTTTAGATTGACAAGAGAGCCGACTGAACGGTAGAAGAACAAATGGCTGAAGCATATCTTTTAAAGAATACGTTTTTTTTTTTTACACGCACACGTGAAAAATAACATTTCCATCGCGGCTGGGAAGGAGCGTGATTGCGAGCGGCTTTATGAATCATCGTAGTCTCCGGGCTCTGTGGAGATAAACCTGAATTCATTCGTGCGTCTGTTTGCGTTTCACAGCGCGATTTGCTCGCAGTTTAATTTTCTTTGCCGTGCGGCTTGGCGGTTCATGGGCGTAGGCACTCTCCGAGAAACTCACGCCCGAGTCTAAGGACCTTTGTTAATCCACTGCTGGATGAAGGTCTCCCCACCCCCCCGTAATCGCCCAGGAGAGCTGTTTGACCATACTTCACCAGGCTTATCAGTATGGGTTGTTGAAGAGGGTGGGGGGGGGCGGTTGTTACTTGCCACTGATGTTAGCCGTGGCCAGAAGTCGAACTCAGATGGTCGACGTTGTAAGCGTAGTGCGCCAACTGCTGTGCCACCGCGATAGGAAGTGATTGAAGAGGTTATCAAAAGGAAGGCAGCAAAGTGGGGCCAAAGATAAATAGGATCAGCTGTGGTTTAGCCGATCAAAAAATGAAGAAGGGTGGTGGTGGTGGCGGCGGCATCTATAACACTTTAACTTTAATATCATCGAAGGACTCCCTTGCAGCAAGAAGACACTCGGTCTCATTGTGATGTCGCCTGGTTAAAAAAAAGTTATTGATTCATTCGTTGGGCCGGTTTTTTGGCCCGAGGCTATTTGGCAGCGACGCCATGCGCGGTATCGCAACGTTCGCCGATGCCGGGCAGAAACAGAGCACTCGATCTGCCATGTTGGCTTTTGAAACCGAAAGGGAAAAAAAACACCTCCATTATTATAATATATTTATTGACATTGTTATTTTGCACAATGTACTCAAGCAAATGCATGATTTAATTACCCCCTGCTATTAGATAATTGGGAACATTGATGTCACCAAACCTAACATTGTTTAAATAAAGCGAGAGACGGAGGGAAAAAGAAGTGCGATTAACATGACAAATGTCCGCCTCCGATTCACGTGTGTGGCCAGGTGGCCCAAGGTCTGATTGAGCTGCGGGGGCCGCAAACATGCGTTGGAGGTAAAGAGTGGCATTGCACGTCGAGTGGTTCGGGCACGAATGTAGAAACACGTGGTTCGACATGGGAAAAAATGTCACCGTTGTAATCTACTGACCGGTCTTCTAGCTACCGAGAGGTTATTTCGAGGGAGACGGCTGTCACTTTGTGGACGCGTGCCGCCCCGTCTTGATACGGAAAAACTCCAGCAAATTGCACTCGATACACCGGCGTATGGCAGCGCGAGCAGTTTGTGCGATTGCTGGCGCAACGGTCCTTCGCTGACTGTGCGTGATGAACGAATGAATGGAGAAACACGCGTGCACACAACAGCAGTAGCAGCAACTTCCGTTCGCCACCAAGTGGCGGCGACGTCACCACGTCGCCTGTGCCAGACCACGGGACAGACCCAGGTGGCCTGGGTTGACTGACTAAGATGACTGGCAGATGCACCACCTGTGCGCTCCCCACCGTGCCGATCCGCTGCGCTTTAGCTGCCCCAGCGCTGCGCGCGGACACGCGGATCCACGCGTAGGCCGGCACGCACGCACGCACGCGAGTGCGGTGGTGAAAATATGCGCCGCCGCCGCCGCCGCCGCTGCAGCTGCTACCGCTGTGAAATGATTTAATTTCTGAATGTTTTTTTAATCGCACATTTTCTTCTTCCAAGAAAATGCTCGATGGGGGGGGGGGGGTATTAACATCTCCGTCCAGACGTGGAGCCATTAACTCCGCGACGTGTTTCAATGGAGAAGCGTTCCCTTCGGGTGTGTTTGTTGTAATTTTCCAGTTTGTTATACCGCTGCTTGGGCTTTGCGCGGTTTCTCTGCCGCGCGGCCCTCCGACGTGTTTTCAGGTTGTTCGGCAACGATGTCCGACGCTTTGCCCCACGTGCCGGGGAGCTGCTTCAGGAACTCAAATCAGTTCGTGAAGAAGCTCCCGGAACGCGGGACGAAACGTCGGACATCGGCCCGAACGCCACGGCGAACAAACCTGAAGGGCAATGCTGCATCAGGACTTTTGTCAAGCACCGAAGCAAATAGGCGTTTCACAATTCGCCAAGATGACGATACTTGCGTCAAATCACGCGTGCAAGGATCGGATATGATTTATGCTCATCGCGTGCTAATGTCAGCCCTGAGCTAATGGAACGAATGAGGCAGAACACACACAGATCAGAATGCAAATGAGGCAGGACATACATGACGAGCGATGCAAAAGAGGCAGTACAAACAAGATGGGGGACCGTACAAGACGGACGATACAAACGAGGCAACGTTAAGGAGGAAGAACGTGAGATGGAAGATACAAAATTGGGTGCATTGCAAACGAGAGACGCTCGGAGTAGGATAACAACAAAAAATACAATAGATTCTTGAATCGAGTCGTGAGAATCGTCACAATTCATCCAATCACAGAGGGGGGGGGATTACGAACCGTCATTTCTCCCTTGAGCAATAACTACTTCATTATGCACACCATTTATGAATGTTGCTTTTCATCACGGTAAATGGAACGGAATTGGGGCTTAAAGACGCATTATCCCTTGGCTTACACTTTGGCCCATCAAGATCTTTTTCCTGATGAGACGTAAAATTGGACAACACCGAGACATCAAAGCTGAGAACATTAAGTTCGACCTCTTGACCTCTCGGACCTCCCCGAGGTCGCGCAGCGGCGGAAGCCCCCCACCCCCCCCCCCCCCCCCGCGTAATCTCGGCGCGTCCTCGTTTCTCGTTTCTCGTTCCCGCTCGCTGCGTCGACCCCCCCCCCCCCAAAGTCGGAGGTTATTGTTTCGTGTTTTTTTTATATCAAGAATCAATACGTCGGCCCTAATTTGCGTAATTATTGGGCCGGGGTTCAGGTTCGTCGTAGCCCGCACACGCTGCATGTTAATTCGGCCCCCGGCTTAGTGCCGTCCCGGGAGACCCGGGGGGACTGGACCTTGTGCGGTGGAATGCCTCCCCTCCCCCCCGCTCCACCCACCCCCCCTGCTCCACCCCCCCCCTGCTCCACCCCCCCCACCCCTCCCCCCCGCCCCTCCCCCCCCGCTCCACCCCCCCGCCCCTCCCCCCCCGCTCCACCCCCCGCCCCTCCCCCCCGCTCCACCCACTCGATCAGAGTGTTTCTCACCGCCGTAAAGGGCCCCCCCGGCTGGAGGGAGCTCAAGTGAGCAACCCCCTGTAGGGATGTTTATTCTACCGTTCCATGATGACCCACCAGACGCCTTGGAAGAGGCTTGAGGTACCCACACTTTACTCCACCGCGTGCGTGCGGCTTTCCAATTGGGCGTAAGATGGAGTTGAACCGGCAACCTCCGGACTGCAAGTCCCGTGTGATAACCCGGTACACCAGTGCAACATCCCTAGCAGGATCAGGTGCTCGCGGTTCCTAGGGCAGAGACTTGGACACTGAGCTCCGCATTGCAGATCCAACTTAAGTCCTTTGTTACTCGGTCTCAACCTGTAGCTTAGCATAGGGAACCATAGGATTCCATTGGACCCAGAGAATTACATGAGACCCATAAACCTCTGTATGACCAATGTACTTAATGAAGACCCGTAGAATAACACAATGCGCACAGGGTAAATATGGCCCTTGGGCTTACATAGGATGCATTAACTTGCATAGGCTCTATAGTGATACATATGTACGTGTGTTGAACTTCTTTCGCACCGTATGTAGCCAACCGTGCTAATTGGAGGTGTGTGGGAAGAACAAACTAAACACAAAAAGCAGTCCTAAAGAAATTAGTTTTCAATCTACATGTTGATTCAAAAGTAGACAGCTCCCAGTAGCTTCCTATATTCGGAAGAAAAGAGCATTCCAGACGGCTGCAGAAGTGCGTCTGAATGCACGTGATGTGATGACCGCCTTTGTTCAATGGCTAGCCCAAAACCGCTGCTGCGAGGATGACTTATATAGTGCCTTGAGAATTACACGGAATGACCTGGATGTGGTCAAGG